CTAAGAATCCAGAGTTTCTTGATCAGTCTTCCCTTCTATTATTCTCCCCCATCCTGTGTTCTCTCCCTTAGACTCATTTCATATTTCCCTGCTTCATTTATCACATATATACAATGACTGTTCTGTATTTGTCCCATTCCATTTTTCATTCATCCCCTCCCCTCCTACCTCCTCCTGTTTCCTGCTTCCTGATATTATTATTATTATTATTTACTAGAGATCAAACCGAGGGCTTCGTGAATGCTAGGAAAATGACTTAACAATGAGCTACAGTCACAGACTCCAGATCCTATTTTGTTTGGCTAACTGGAGATAAGAGTCTCATGGACTTTCTTTCCTGGGCTGGCTTTGAACTGTGATCCTGAGATATCAGCCTCCTGAGTAGCTAGAGTTATAGGCATTATTGAACCACCCGTGCCCAGCCAGATCCTATTTTTGAAAATATTTTAATTATATACAATGACAAGCACAGGCTTGGCATTTGTAAATAGAAATGGTTATTTTGAATGCATAAACTAATTTTAGAGAATCGAGGTAGAGAATAGATATTAGGAGACAATCAAGAATCAGGGTTATTATATAACAACAAAACAATTGGGTAAAACAGAACACTTAGTTGTTTTGTTAAGCCAGAATCTTTTCTTTGTTTTAGTGTCATGTAAACATGTATGATAGTAATGATGGCAAAAAGTTATTAAAACAGGAGGGGGAAGAGCAAGCTTTTAAATTCTGTGATAGGAAAAATAGATAGCTGAGCTGAATAATAATTTATATGTGTAGGCAAAAAATAGGGGGAGAAAGTGTAAGGGAACTTGTTTCTTGCAGTAAGTAGCTTTATGGTTCACTGTATTTTGTCAATTGCTTGAGAATAGAAGGCATTCATGCTTAAAGTGGTAGTCATTTACCAAAGCTCTGATGATTTTCCTGTTAGAGAATTAGATGCTTAAATCATAAACAACATCCTCACTTTTCTTGCTCTTGTCTTTATTTTTGAAATAACTTTTTTCTTTTATGAATTCAATTTCATTTCTACCTCAACAAAGTGTAGTTTCTCGCATCATTGTCTTTCCTTTTGAAGAAAATTGCAACAGGTCTCAATTACAGATACAGTAGATGGGGAACAGTGATGTAGATAATACAAAAGAACAGATAATAAAAAAGACACTTGGAATTGGCTTTGAAATGCACTTTTTGGCACATTCTCATCTTACCTTTTACACAGGCATTCCCATCAGAACAGTAAGAACTGACTTCTTAGGCTGAGAGATCAAAGAAACTTAGCTTGAGGTTTCAACACTGCCAATGAACTAGCCACATACAGATAATGAAAATAATAGCTTAGTATATTTATATTTTATATAACACCTTACTCCCATGAACATGTAGCCACAAAACAGAATCTACATACTCATTCCGGGAATTTACTTGCATCTTTAAGATGGTTGATTTAAAAATAATCAATTAGATTGACTTTTATTTTATTCAAATCTATTTGGCTGACCTTGACTAACTGAATGTCCTAGTGTTCTCTTAATTGAAAGAGTTGCCATATGGTTTTAGAAGACATTGGAAATTTCACTTCAGATGTCAATATGCCAAGCTATCATTTAAATATGCTTGAGACAAGTACAAGGCATATGAATTAGAAAAAAATGCTCAGCATGCCCCCTGCTGGGCCTTTCTTCCAAGAAGTTGGAACAAAAAATATGCAACGTCATCCAGTGGTTGAGAGAAAGCATGCCACTATAACTATGATAATGAATGAATACATTTCCTTTTGAACAGTGTCATCCTCTCCTTCATTCTCTCCCAATTTTCTCCTCCCAACTTCCCTCTCCCCCAAGTTGCGTGGTACAGTTCCTTAAAATAAAGTTTCAAAAGAGAAATACATGTTGGTTAAAAATGCATATTGTGATATTTGAATTGTGCTCTAAGAATGAATAAACCCAAATATGAATTCACAAAACCTTAGGTATGTCTGGAAATCTTGCTCATTTCAGAAGTAAGATTTAAAATACCATCTAAGACCATACCCACTAAACCTTTGTTATAAGGCAGAAATTCCCCTGTGTTTTATGAAAAAAAGATGATGTTACTGTCAGTTAATCTCTCTATAAATACATAAACTAAGTTGTTCTGCCACCCACAAGAGGATATTTGTAAAAGGGTGGATTTTAATTCAAGAGCTTTGCAGAATTTGTAAAAGTGTATTTCTATTCCCACCTTCTCCTCTTTGAAGCTGGTGGGGGGGATAGCTGCTGCCTGCTCTATAAATAAGCAAATGTGTGTGTGTGTGTGTGTGTGTGTGTGTGTGTGTGTGTGTGTGTGTGTGGGGCGCACCAGTTCTCAGACTTGCACTATGGGCCTGTATGCTACCCCTGAGCTTTTGTGCTCAGGGCTAATACTCTACCACTTTTAGCACAGCACCATTTCTAGCTTTTTGGTAGTTAATTGGAGATAAGAGTCTCACAAATTTTCTTGCCCGGCCTGTTTTTGAACCACAGTCCTCATATCTCAGCCTCCTGAGTAGCTGGGTTACAGGTATGAGCCACAGTTCCTGGCAAGCAAATATTTCTATCAATTGAGTGTTTCTCTTAGGAAGGAGAATGAGGGATTTGATTTAGTAAAAATTATTTTTGTATTTTTCATGTATCAATTTTTAAGGTCCCATATGATAAAATAGCAAATATTTAGCATCTTCCCAACAACTTTTCTCAGTTAAATGGGGTTGGATACAGTTCAGATCTACAAATACTAGCTGCCAATCACATTATTGTTGACCTATTGCTGCTTATATTTTCAGAAGAGTCAAATCAAGAAATTAGAATTTAGATAAACTATTACTTTTATATTTTCTAGTATCAATTGGCACTCAAAAATACAAATGAATGTAAGGGGCTATTTATGATGTTTTCTCTGAGGTAACCATATCAAAAGGGTTTCATTTTATCAAAGTGAAAATTCTTCTGGACATAATTTAGTCCTTTATCTCAATTAAATCATAGCTCTCTGCATTTATTAAAACATTCTCAATTGCTTAAGCTATTTAACTATACATCAAATAGATGCAAGTGTAGTACTTAGAACACTAAAAAAGTTATTGTGTTGTGTGTTAATCTCTATTTTCCACTGATTATGGGTGTTAGTGGTATGTTAAAGATTAGGATGAAACTGATTTGGGGACAAAAAAAATCACATCGTAGGAACTGGGATTATTTATTTACTTTTACATATTTCAATAGTACATGGAACTTCAATGTATAGACTATTATTTTTTAACTCAGGGCCTTGCATTTGCTAGCAAATGCTCTACCATTTGAATTGTACTTCCAAGCCTTGACACCTTACTGCTTAGATTCTCAGAATTCACAATACATTTTCTTCAGTGGTTGGATTTATCTGAAAGTAATTTAGGACAGTGGCACTTTATTTGTTCTTGTCATTTCATTGGGCAGAAGCAAGAGGCTTGAGTTACCTTCTATTCTGATTAATATTTTTCCTTTAAAGTACAAATAGGATATGCTATAGTTTACATGTTGAATATCTCCTTAAGGCCTATGTGATGGAGACTTAGTTAGTATCTAGCTTGATACTATTGGGAGTTGGTGGAAACCTTAGGAAGTAAGGCATGGTGAGAATTCTTTGGCTTGGGCAAAGGGGATAATGGGATCCCCTGTCTCTCATTCTCTCTTTTACATTCAGACTATGATGTGAGCAGCCTTGCGTCACTATGTGACTTCTACCATGATGTGCTGCCATACCACAGGACTGAAGGCAATGAGGCCAACCAACCTGTGAAACCATGAGTTCAGATAAATCCTTCATCTTTGTAAATTGATTATCTCAGATGCTTGTTAGAGTGATAGAAGGTTAACTAATACGAATTATATAATTTGGGAAGGCTTTAAAGAACACCTTATTTCCTGGTGCTGGTGGCTGACGCCTGTAGTAGTTACTCAGGAGTCTGAGAGCTGAGGATCGTGGTTCAAAGCCAGCATGGGCAGGACCATTCATGAGAGTCTTATCTCCAATAAACCACCAGAAAACCAGAAGTGGCACTGTGGCTAAAGTGGTAGAGCTCTTGCCTTGAGCTGAAGAGCTGAGGGACAGCGCCCAGGCCCAGAGTTCAAGGCCCCCACCCCCCCACCAACGACAAAAAGAAGGTAAGATCATACTATCTAGGGAAGAAAGTTGGAAGAAAATGTTCCAAATGAAAGTAAAATAAGGTGAAGCAAAACTGCCATAATTTCATGCTTTTAAAATGTAATTACAAGGTAAGGGTATAGTTAGTTAAATGGAAGGTGAAAGCAGAGATTTATAAGGTATTACTGCATAAAGGAGACAGCTTTTATTGATATTAGCCACATTACTGATATTTTAAGCAAAGATCAATGGGTTGTGAATATCTATTTCTTTAGAGAGGTATTAGTAAAATATCCAGTAATTTGAACAATTTCTTCAAAGGAACAATGAGAGTATTCTTTCATATTTAACTTTTCCCAGTGTCTAAGCATTCAAAATTAAAAATAATGGTACATTTACTGTAAAAATTATTCTTCAGATACAATAAAACTTTAGTGAATCAGAATTGATAAAGGAGTTGTGTAATTAGAATTATAGAATATAGTTGTATTTCATTATTTTGGAGAAATTCATTCATAATGAAAATAGATTTACACACTAAATAAATACCAGAATAGTAACAATTATATTTTACAAGAAAACACACTTTCCTATTGCTTTATGATGTATTCATTTGCAAAAAAGCAGTTGGATAATTAATTTAAATGACATATTTTTCATTGAAGTGGTGTTCTCTATTTCATTAGCTTTGATTATCCTATTGTATCTGTCTGAAAATAGTAGATTACTACATATTAAAAGTATCTTCATTATTCCAGAGATCTGCTTTCAAGGATGCTACAAAGTGCAGCAATGGGAGGATCAGAGTCAAGACCAGCCTGGCAATACCCCAAACAAACATACAAACAGCATTATTGGTGCTCGCTTCGGCAGCACGTATACTGAAATTGGAAGGATACACAGAAGACTAGCATGGCCACTGAGCAAGGATGATACACAAATTAGTGAAGCATTCCATATTTTGGGGGCTAAAGAGTTAGAGAGAAACTTCTCTGAAGAGGAAAGAAGGATGGCCAATAGACACATGAAGAAATGCTCAACCTCCCTAGCCATAAAAGAAATGCAAATCAAAACAACATTGAGATTCCACCTCACCCCAGCCAGAATGGCTCTATACTCAAGAAATCTAATAACAACAGATGCTGGAGGGGATGTGGCCAGAAGGGAACTCTACTGCATTGTTGGTGGGAGTGTAAACTTGTTCAACCACTTTGGAAAGCAATATGGAGGTTCCTCAAAAGACTCCACATAGAGCTCCCCTATGACCCAGCAATCCCACTTTGGGGCATTTATCCAAACAATCACAAACAAGGCCATACTAAAGCTACCAGCACAACTATGTTTATAGCAGCATTATTTACCATAGGTAAGATATGGAACCAGCACAGAAGCCCCTCAGTGGATGAATGGATCAAGAAAATGTGATATATATGTATATATACATATTTATATCTATATCTATATATAATGGAATTCTATGCTTCCATCAGAAAGAAGGATACTGCCTCATTTGTTAGGAATGAAAGACTTGGAAAAAATTACATTAGGTGAAGTAAGCTAGGCCCAACAAAACATAGGTCCCATGGTTTCCCTTATTTGCAATAACTAGTATATGTCTAGGACAAGCAGAAAAGTTCAAAAGCTATGTATATATGATCATATAAGATGATGCTAAGCTAAATGAACCCCAAGATAGAGACATAAATGGTTTTATCTTTCTTGCTGTTGTTTTTAATGTATTTATAATGTACCATGTGATTTTTTTTGTTTCTTTTGTATGTTCTTTCCCCATGGTATAACTCATATTTTCACTGTATTTGATTCCGGTGTCCTGCATCTTGTATATACATTTTTCTAATTTGGGGAGGGGAAGAGAAATAACAAAATGCTGAAATAAGGATATAGGTTGACCCATTGTAACAATGAGATGTAAAAGACACTATGTTGAAAATGAACTTTACAACTTGAGGCGGGGGGGAGTTAGTGAGGTGAGGAGGGAAGGGATGGTAGGGGAAAAACAGAGGAGGAGGTAACAACACTGGATAGGAAATGGACTCATTACCTTACTCATGTAACTGTAACCGTTCTGAACAATACTTTTACAATAAAAATATATACAAATAAACAAACAGCGTTATGGTTTTGGGGAACACAATAATATGAATGAGTTGCTATGAAAATGATGTCGAAGAGAAGCACTATTAAAACTGCTCTAATGAATAGCAAAAATTGTTTGCAGGAAACAGTTGCTTCTATATATTGCTTACAAAATGTTTCTACTCTTTGAAGGCCTTTACCCATTTCAGTACTCCTTTCTGCTAAATTCTCCATTTTAAACTGGAACACTGATGAGAGTTAATGAGAATTTTATATTTTACTCAAATCCACACAGTGTGGTGCAACTCACTATACTGACAATAGCTTATTTAGATAAGTAGAAGAGTAACATTACCTTCACAATATTGTACAGTGAAACAATATCTGAACTGCAAGCTGGTTCCTTCACTCTGTGACCTTGTGTGGGTGCTTGCAGTCTATGTAGCTGTGTGAATCACTGGTGGTAATCTAGGCAGTTCCTATTGCCAGAGCTTTATATAGAAGCAGCCTAACAAAGAAGTCATGTCCCCAGCTGCCAGCTAATGATGAGACACCAAGTAGCTGTAGGGAGAGCAGATAGAAAAGGAACACTCTGTTATAATGGGTGGCAATTCATCTTTAAGCTATGGAACCTGGGCATTTCTGGCATTGCAACACTGAAATGGCTATGGACAGAAATGTGAAATAGGTGGTATTTTTTTGCAGGGAAGGGAAGATATGCCTTTTTCAGAACTTATTCCTTCTTTATCTTTTGTTTTTGGTGCTGGGGAACCCAGGCCCTTACATATGGCGTCTTAATAACAAGCATTGCCAGCCCTTCACCCATTCATAGTTCAAGTCTACCCTCACTTAGGCTTGTGCTAAGTGCTGTATTAACTAAGGTAAATAGAGCAAGATCTTGGGGACCCCAGCAGTCCAATACCATGTTCAGGTCATACCACATCCAATCTATTTCATTATCAATGTATTCATTTCTATTAGATGGTAGCCGTTCCCAGTATGATGTACCATTTAAACCCTATGGCTTTTATTTATTTATATAGTTTTTTATTAAAGTGCATTGATTGTATAAAATGAGGGGTATCATTGTGATTTTCCATATAAGCATGTAATTTGATCATATTCAACTCCACTATTATTCTTTCTTATCCCTCTCCTCTGAACCTCCCTTTAAAAATCTTTCATGCAATTTTTATTTTTAATAGATATTTTTATTGTAAAGATACTGTACAGAGGGTTACAGTTACATCAGTAAGGTAAATGAATACATTTCCTATCAAACATTGTTATCTCCTCCTTTATTTTTCCCCTACCATCCCTTCACGCCTCACCTCCCCAACTCCTCCCCGCCCCAAGTTGTAAAGTTCATTTTCAACATAGTGTCTTGTACATCTCATTGTTACAATGGGTCAACCTATATCCTTATTTCAGCATTTTGTTATTTCCCTTCCCCTCCCCAAATTAGAAAAATGTATATACAAGATGCAGGACACCGGAATCAAATACAGTGAAAACATGGGTTATACCATGGGGGAAGAACAGACAAAAGAAACAAAAAAATCACATGATACATTATAAGTACATTAAAAACAATGGCAAGAAAGATAAAACCATTTGTGTCTCTATCTTGGGGTTCATTTCACTTAGCATCATCTTATCTGGTCATGTGTACATAGCTTTTGACCTTTTCTGCTTGTCTGGTAAGATTATCCTAGACATATACTAGTTATTGCAAATAAGGCAAACTATGGGACCTATGTTTCTTTGGGTCTGGCTTCACTTAATATGATTTTTTCCAAGTCTTTCCATTTCCTAACAAATGGGGCAGTGTCATGCTTTATAAAAGTAGATTTCATTATGATATTTTGTACATGAATTCAGTGTATTTCTATCACATGGACCTCCTTAAATAGTCCACCATTTATATTGATATCCATGTTTTAGATCTAGATTCTTCATGTGAGTGAAGACATGCAATATTTGTTTTGAGTCTGGCTTTTTTTCCCCATTTAACATGACTGATAGTCTCTACTTCCATCCATTTTTTGCAAATGACATAATTTATTTTTTTCTTTATGACTGTATGGCACTCCACCTTATCTTTATCCATTTGTTTGTAGATAGGCATGTAGGCCAGTTCCATATTTTAGCTCCTATGAGTGTGCAGATATCTCAACTGTATATTGACTTATATTCCTTCAAATACATGCCCAGATTAGTTTAGCAGGATCATATAGTACTTCTATTTTACTCTCTTGGGGAACCTCCATACTAATTTCCATAGTAGCTACGCTAATTTACATTTACACCAACAGTGTATTTTTCCCACATCTTTGTCGACATTTGCATTTCAGTACTGGTATTTGATGTCAGGGCACCCATCTTTATTGCTTGGATGGCCTTATATCATCATTATTTCAGCCTACTTTTTTTCTGGCTATTTAGGAGATAGTTTCATAACTTTTCTGAGCCTGCTGGCTTCAAAACAATCCTTCAGCTTTCAAACTCCTGAGTAGGTAGGATTATGGGCATGAACTACTCGTGCCTGCATGTTGTTTGTTTTCTTGATTACATTCATTTTGACCTGAGTGAGATGGCATCTCAATGTCATTTTTATTTACATTTTCTTTATGACTAGGGATATTGAACATGTCTTCATCTGTGTATTGGTCATGTGTAATTCTTTGGAGAATTGTTCCATTAATTCACCTATTTCTTAATTGATTATTTTAGCCAGGATTTTAAAGTGATAAAGAGACATAAGCTAGTCATTAGTCTCTGCTAATCCATGAATGGGATAACTTCATCAGTATCATTTTACTACTACCATATTTTTGAGGCTTTAAAACAGAATGGACTCTGTGAGTGTTTTTTTTCTCTTTTTTGCAATACTAGGGCCTCACACATGGCAATCACATACCACTGAGGTCCAACCCTTTCCCATTAAAGTGCTTTCTTTTTATATATTACTATATATCAATTAAATGTCACAACTGCTCTACAAAGCAATACTTCCAGTATTCCCACTTTACTGTTAAGGTAACTGAGATAAGAAGACTGAAAAATAGAGAGTTTATGTACTTTCCCAAGACTACACAAGGAGAAAACAAACAGCAGACTCAAATCTTGGTCTGTCTTGCTATCTAGCCTACACCTTGCATCACTACTATCCTCCCATTACTTCGGGTAGACCCATGATGCATTCTGTAGGGTTAGGAGCTAGAAATATGAAATATTATACTTGAGAGAATAATGCCTGACAAATAACTGGTCTTCAGTTAGTATTTGCTGAGTGAATGCATAAACCTTTGCATTTAAAAAGATGTATTTTTCTTTGATTCCCATGTTAAAAAACCAGTTGTCATCCAGAACTTGCTCTTGCTAAGAGACTTCTTCCTAGCAGCAGATTGCAAAGCTACCCAGGGCCCAGTGTAGGGGTAAGTAAACAAGAAGCACAGGCACTCCAGAGCCTTATGCCCTAGGGGTTCTCTTCACCTGTTAGCCTCCCAGGTGGTGTAAGTATCTGTGGCAATATGCATGAAGTTATAGCCTTAGGATTTGTCTTTAGGCTTCTCTAAACTGCCCTTGTGGAGGCCCTGGACTGAAAAGCCTTCAAGCTAGAAAGAATGTGTTCTTTGTGAAATGGTCAAACTGAACACACCTTCCGTTAACCAGAATGTGCCTTACCCCCTTACCCCTCTGAGTTCCATTCCAAAAGGCCCTTACAAAGCTTTTGTGCAAATATATTCCTTTTCTTTTGCATAATCTAGATTTTTACTAGTTTTCCGAGAGTATTTGTCTGCCTGTATAGTTGAAATAGTACTAAATTCCTCAGTATTAACCACAGTAGTCTCCAACTACAGCTAA